TAACTTTTCATTAAAAAAAAAAGAATTATAATAAAATCAAGTCAAATTTTTAGATTCAAATATTTCTTCAATTGAAATTAATTCTGAAGTTTTTATTGAAGAAATTGATGATATTGATGAAAATAATACTTTTATTACTTCTGAACATTAGAAATAAAAATTAAATAAGTAAGAAGAAATATTAAAGGAAGAAGAGTTAGCATGATTAAAAGATAAAGAGAAGTTAAGAGATAATCCAAATATCAGTCTGAGAAGTGATCTTTAAATGAATATATACATTTAGCAATAGATAAAAAAACAAAATAGAAGCTTAGAAATTTATTCAATTCAATTCTTAATGCTTCTGATTACTTAAATGTAAAAGAATTGTCAGTTTTTCATTCAATGTATAATTTCTGTTTGAAATTTGTCAATTTTGATTATCGATTACTTCGAATGAATTTTTTTTTAGTTTTTTTAATTTAATCTTCAAATTTTTTTCATTATAATTTATTATTTTTTTATTAATTTTTATTTTTTTTTTTGATATTTTTATTTTTTATTTTTTTTATTTTTTTTAATTTGATTTTTCCGTTTATTAATTATTATATATTTTTTTGGTATATTTTTTTTTATTTTTTAATTTGTAATTTTTTTTCTATTTTTTTATTTTTTTTATTTTATTTTTTACACAGTTTTAATTTTTTTAATTTTCAATATATTCTTCTTTTTTTATTTTTTTTATTTATAATTTATTTTTGTTTTTCAATATTTAATTCATTTTAATTTTTTAATTTTTTTTTTTCATTTTATTTTATTTTTATTTATTAATTTTGATATATATATATATATATATATATATATATATATATTTAATTCCTTTTTTAATTAGGTAAGTATTTTATTTCTTTTATTTTTTTTTCTTTTGTTTTATTAATTTTTGATAATTAACTTAATTTTTTTATTAATAATATCTAATGTAAAGACTGAAATTACAAGATAATAAATATTTATTTAATTTAAATTTTTTTTATTTAATTTTTTTATTTAATTTTTTTTATTATATAAAGCATTTCTTTGAGTCTTTAAGGTTAGTTTTCTAAAACTTCTTTAAAGGGTTCTTCAAAATGTTTATTTTTTTACTTATTAATATTTCTCCTTTTTTAGAAACAGATCTTTATTCTTTTCAGATAAGATAAGTCTTTCAAGTGATTTTTTAAGAGATTATTTTTAGGATAATTCTTTTTTATTAACTCACTTTTTTTTTAGGAGTAGGTCTTTCATTCTTATTAAAATGAGGAAATAAGAAACTCTGCCAATAAAAAAACAGTAATATGGGAGCTACTACTTCTCAAATTTAAACTAGAGAAAAATTATCAGATATCCCTTATTATTTTTATTCAGATAGGTAAGTCTTCATTTGGGAGTTCTTTAAGAAATTCATTATTTTTACTAACCTTTTTCTTTTTTTTTTAGAAATAAACATGAATTTTATTTGCTAAATGAAAGAAATTTTGTTTTAGTATATATAAAAAGGTTCTTTAGAAACAGTTTTTTCTCTTGAATAGGTTGGATTCTATAAGGATTTCTTTTAATAGTGAAATTTTTTTTTCTTTTTTTTTTTTACTTTTTTTACTTTCTTTTCAAATAAGATAAGTTCTTTAAATTTTTTTTCTGTCTTTTGAATTTAACAAAAAAAAAAATAAATAAATTCGTTTTATTACTTTTATAATTACGATTCTTGTATTAATTATTATAAAAAGAAATGAAAATTTAAATTAATTTATATAATTTCATATATTTATTTGCAAGTTCAATGATATAAAATTTCATTTGATTTTATTGGATAAAAAATGTGTCACGTGATAATATGCTTCCAAACTTCCAATAAAAATTTATAAATTTATTGGAATTGGAAGTATGATTGGAATTGGAAGATTTGAAAGTCCAAATGTGCTTCCAGCTTCCAATACACATCACTGATATACAGTGTATGTTTACATTTATTATTTTATCATATTGACTCTAATTATATTATATTTTATCTAACAGGATTAGTTAAGTAAATAAGAGACCATTGCAAGAAAACATAAAACCATTAATAATATTAATTAATTCTAGTAAATATTGTATAATTAAAAATTGGATTTACATTACAAATATGGGCGGTTTGTTATTAAAATCACGTTACAATACTTGTCCTATTTTTAAATAAACTCATCTTTGATGGTGCTGAAAGGATTAAATTAAACATCCTTCTTTTAGCTATGGTAGCTAAATGTTATAGGCTAGTGCACAAATTTCTTTAATTCAAAAATGTGAAATTTCTGTTACTAGAAATGGAAGTGAGGATAATTTGATGTTTGATTACAATATTTTACTTCATAATACAATCCATAATAATAATGAAAAAAAGTGATAGCGATAGTGACTGGTAATTGTCTTTTACGTATTATTATTTAACATCGAGTTTTACATCATCAATCGATCATTGATAAATTAGAAATGCAATAAAATAGTATTCACGTCTAAAAAGATAATTTTTCTAAAAAAAAAAAAAACTAATTTTAAATAAGTGTTTCTTTCTACCCCCCCCTTTTTTAATTTCGTAACTACAATACGAACATAACATAAGTTCCAACACTAGCTAAACCAATTAATGTATAAACATTTCTTAAACCACCATTAGGTTGAGCCGCACTCTTAGCTTTTTCATTATTTGAACCATTATTATTATTCGTCGTACCATCACCCAATGGAGTTTGATTATATTTAACACTATTTAAATCGGCAGCAATCGAAAAAACATTTTGACCATCATTACCACCCTTATCATAAAAGTCTACGGCAATGAAATTTGGAATTTTGTTAAAAGTTTGTTGACATTTTTTAGCATGATCAGCCAAACTAGCAGAGTTCGTTACATTTGCCAGACCAGGTTGAGGTAATTGAATTTGATTATCCGAAGGTAAAAAGTTATTATATAAGAAATGATTTAGAACGTACAATGGCTGCTCTTTGCCTTTTGGTCTATCAATTGTACATTGCCATCCATTTGGATCTTCATTCTCGAATGGGGTCTCAAATACATAATCAAATTCTGACATTAACCTGTGAAAAATCAAATTGAAAAAGGAAGGAATATTTAAAATCGCATGAAATAATTTTTTTTCGTTAGGTAGAATTATCTTATCACAAAACTTTGCTTACCATGGAATGGAACCATCAGAAGGAGGATTGATGAAATTTACCAGTCTTTTACCACTATCAATCATTTTAGCTAAACTAGGCCAACCTTTACCAACTCCTTGAACATGACCAAATTTATCTAATCCAGATTGAGTGTAAACATCATTAAAAGCGGATGTAGGCACTTTAGCAGTATTTTCCCATATAATAGTGACAACCTCATTTGGATTCTCATTTAACCAACCAGCAATTGTTGTTAAGGTATCCACTGCGGAACCTGCATCAAATAATCTACAGTTACCATGGCATAAGTGCATCTCATTTGGATTGTCATCAGGATAAATGGAATCCAACATAAGTCCTCTAACACCATCTTTAAGTTGTGTTGAAACGTTAAAATTTTGATTTGCAGCTGGTTGTTTACCAGCAGCATATGAATTATGTGTCGTCACATAAGCTATCTCTGAGTATAACTTATCACAAAATTCAGCATATCCATTACATGCTTTTTGTGAATCAACTACCGATGCTAATAATGTTATGGAAAATGCAACGATCGATGTTACTTTCATGGTTGAAATATAAATTTTTTTTGGTACGAGGTTGAAATAAATTTGCGAATTTATCGAAAAATAAAATTGGGGATTGATAAATTTTAACCCCTTAAAGTTCTTGGCTTGTGATGAATATCGGATACTTTTATATCGTTCGAGGCGGTGTCTATTTATAACTTTTATGAAATAATAAAAAGGAAACGTAAACTTTGAAATTTGCAAGTTTACGGATAAAATCAAATAAAATGAAAGAATGAAGAGCGTATTTATTAAAAAAATATATTAAAAAAAAAAAAAAAAAAAAAAATCAGGGAGGTTACACTTTTTATTGTTTATTGTATAAAGAAAATCTTGTTCAACATTTTTTATTTGATGCATTTATGTGAATAAATTTTTGGTCGGAATTGTTCTATTCCTAACTGGCACACAAGAGTTTGTGTCAAAAATATACAAGTACTACTATACGTAGTATAATGTTTAAATTAAAACTATCCTTAAATGAACTTGGATGATCAATACTTGAAATCCAAAACAAGGTTTCATATTACTTACGAACTAAGCCAATTTTCAAACTTATCCCCTAAGCCTTCATAGCCACGATCAAAGCCCTTTTTCCTTTTTTTAAAAATTTTTTGGTTGTAATTTCCATTAATAATTATAAGCGTCTTTGATGTTCCTTGTATTCTATATTCCATATTCAATGTTTACAGTAAACATGTACATAGTTACCCGTCCTATTAAAATAACCGATTAAAATTCATTAAAATGACAATATACTGGGACAAATTAGTAGTGATCTATTAAAAATAGAATGCGATGTTTGGATCTATGATGATCTTGTCCTTAAATTCTTGGCGAATTTTGCTTGGCTTGTTTCACTATTCAATAATAACGGATGGATTTCAGGTATTTTAAATTATTTTAATTTAAATAATATAATTGGGGCATGCTGCAACGAAACCCGACAAAGTGAACATTTGTACTACCAAGGATTTCAGGGATCAAAATTTAGTCATTATCATCACAATTGTAATGTTTGTTATCTTCTCTGTTTCATATGATCCGTAACGTGATTCTAATAGCAAACCTCCCATATGATGATTTAAGGAATCTTACTTTAACTGTCTCCTTTTTATCAATTCAAAAGGTATGGATAACCTACCGTGAAATACTATCGCTATATCCGACCAATCACCTTTCGAATCGAAAACCTTATTTTTTTAAAAAATATTTGTGATACGGTTAGTTAATAAATAAGTCTCACGATTTACATACTGCATGTCCGAAGATATTTTACCTTCTCTTGAAGAAATTAAAAAATTTGACACAGATAATCTCATAAAATTTTTAAAGAAACAAACATTAAATCTTCATGATAACCATTTTAATATAATCCGCAATGAAGAAATTGATGGTGAAGTGTTTATTGATTCGACCAAAGAAGAATTAAGAAATTATGGCATGAAAGGAGGGACTGCAAAAAAAATAGCAAAGTTTATTGGAAGACTGAAGGAGGTAAATGGTAAGCCGTTTGCTTTTTATGCATTATTTATTATTTTCTGTAAATCTTCATAAACTTTTGGTTTCATTTTGATTTTATTAAGAGGAATCATCACTTAAGTGTAAAGTTTCATATGGAAGATATAAAAGAGAATTTTCTTTTGCTGCTTCTTTCAGAGAAAACTTGTGGAAATAATTATGTAATTACATTAAAGAAGAATTTGATGAGAAGCTACAAGAAATTGAAGATGATTCAATTGAAATCGTATCAGAATCATATTTAAGAATTAAAGATAAAATAAAATTTGAAAAGTTTATAAAAACAATTCCTAAGGATCAAAATAGTGTGAAATATATCGAATTTAAGGTGGAATGTTGAGTATTTTTTGCTTTTATGAATATTTCAACTTCCATTTCATTCAATAACTTCTATGTAAATAATTGTATATAGTATGAGATTTTTCTATATACAAAAAGTTAATTCAACTTGAACCAATATTTGAAATAACTTTATGCAATTTTGAAAAGTTGTCTTAATTAAAACTTCGTAAGTATTAAATATTGTTATTGACATTTTTTAACAAACTATATAATTTTCTAATTTGTTTTTTGAACATTTTATTAAAGCTCCAGAGGCAGACATATTATCATATGGTAATACTATTACTCTTGCTAAAAAGAACATAAAGGTATTATGAAATCCTTTTTTATATAATACAATATAAATATATATTTATACAACTTTTTTTCTTAAGTTATTTTTAAAGGTAATTGGAATTATTGATGGACGCAATGAATTAGAATGCTCAAGATTTGTTGATACCATCTTATGCATGCAATATTGTTTTAACTTTCAATAAAGAAGAAGAGATTAGATTATACCTAGAATTTGTTATAATCAGGGTTGAGAAATTTGTATGTACTAGATAAATCTTGACCTTGTACTTATACTGTACTGTACTAAATTTTATATTAATTATTATGTGTACTAACTATACTAAACTGTACTAAGCTGTACTAATTGTATTAATTTCTCAACTCTGGTTATAACTGATCTGTATGATAAAGGGTGAATAGATTTTATTATTAAATGTGATGATACAATAGTCTGTATAACAGAAGTCAAATGCACAGATCTAGAATATGGGTTTTGTCAAAACCTAATCCAATTGCAAAGCGCATACAAAGTAAGTAAATATTTTCTTCAAAATATAGTTTTACACATTACTAATATTATTCATTTTAATTTTAATATAGGAAAATATCCAGAAAAGAGAACAAGATGATATCGAATATATATATAACATTGTATCTACTGGTAATAAATGATATTTTACATTAGTTTTCTCTGATAATAGAGTAGCAAAAAGTGAAAAACCAATAATATTAAGTCTGAATGATAATGAAATTGATGATGAAATCTTGAGAAATCAAATAGGAAAGTTATTTACTATGATTCGTTCAATGCTTGTAGAAAAAATAATAAGTATTCTAGAAGAATATGCTAATAAGAGGCAACGATTAAATGAACATTATATATTATTATCTTATTTAAATATGTTATAAATTTTTATAGATTTTTATACAAAATTTATATAAAATTAAACTTAATATTATATAATAAATAAAAATAAAATATTAAGTAAATTATAATTTATAATACTTACTTCATTATTTTTTAAAT